CGCCTGCCCCGGCTGCGCGGACGCCGGCTGTCCGGCCGCCCGGTGCCTGGTGTGCGAGGAGGAGGCGGACACCCCGCAACACGTCCTGCTGCGCTGCCCGTGCCTCTGCGGGGCCCGCCTCCTCGCCATGGGCAACATTCACGGACGCCCCACCGACCTGAGACGGGACGACGTGGTGGCGGCCTTGGCCGCCGGCTTTCGGTCCTTCCAGAGCCGAACGACTACGCCCCGGTGACGGGGCCGGGGGAAAACAACAAACAAACAAACAGGCGCTGGGCTGGAGGCCGGCCACCAGCGCACTCCGCTGCCGGGCCAACACTGTCTCATTGACTCCCAGCTGCCAGACCCGGCCGGCGGCTCGGCGACGCACTGCACCACGTAGTGCGTCACGACGCTGTTGCCGTCGTACCTGGGTGGACAGGCCACCAGCACGGATCGCGCCGATCGGAGGGCGGCTCCGGCCGCTCCGTCACTGTCACGTGCCGCGTGGTGCTGTCCTCGCCGTGACTGTTGCGTACGTGTAGGTACCGCCGTCGGCCCGTCGCGCCGCCGGCGCCGTCAGTGTCAGTTGGGAGGAGCCGTCCGCAGCCGTTACCTGCACAGTGACGTCTCCGTCCGTTGGGGTCACCGGAGCTCGGTCGGGGTCGCCAGCAGGTGGCTGCGCCGGTACCAGCTCAGCTGCAGCGGCCGGTCACCGGACGGCACCAGGCACCACCGAGACGGCTCTCTGACGCTGCTGGAAACGGGCCGGCACGGTAACGCTGTGCGGCGCGGCGCGCCGCAGCGGCTCGTCCACGCCTTTGTCGGCGCTGTAGCCGTACTCTCTGCCGCCGATCTCGGCGATCGTCGGCGGCGACAGGCAGCCGTCGGCGCCGCCCGACGGAGGGTGAGCCGCCCGTCGGCGGAGCCTCAGAGCGCGGCGACTGAACTGAAAGTCCAGTCCACGAAACAATGGGCGATGGCTGATCGGCCGCCAAACAGTTGAAGTCACGACGCTGCCGCCCAGTGCCACTTCCCTGTCCGCCATCTGGTGAAGCCAGCGCGGCGGCACTCTGACGCGGAGCTCGGCCGGGCGGCGCCGCAGCCTGGTCGGCTCGCACGCGCTGGAACACCAGGCTACTGTAGAACTCTGCGCCGACCGTCTCCAGGTGGTGGACGGCCAGCGAATGGTTGCCGCGCGGCCGCCAGCCGGCCGTTGGGCAGCACGCGGTGCGCCGCTGCCGCCACCGGCCAGCCAGCACGCCACCACACGTGTCCCGACAGCGAGTAGCCGCCGACACCGTACGTATGGAGTCCTCGGCCCTGCCGGCTGAGCTTTCCGCCACACCCTGGTAGAGTCCACCGTCCTCCCGGGACACCTGCTGAATCGTCAGCTGACTAGTGACGTCCTTAACTGCCTGTCCTGGACCTGGAACCTGCCGCCCAGCTGGTCGACGCTGACGCCGTCCCTCGTCCAGGTGACAGCCGGCGGCGGTGACGCGGTGGCCGCACAGGTGAATGTGACCGCAGTGTCGACCATCGGCTGCACCGTTTGCTGAACCAGCGACAACAGCAGCCGAGCCGGCAACGCTCCGATCCTGACCTGGGCGGTGGCGAGGTCATCGGTCACGTGACACTGGTACATGCCGGCCACGGAGCGGTTGCCGCCGGTCAGCTGCAGAGCCGGCCGGCTGGCGGCGGCGGGCAGACGGCGGCCGTCCTTGAACCAGACGATGTCGCCGGCTGCCAGGGGCGGCGTCACGTGACAGGTCAGCTGAGCGGGCTGGCTGGTGGTCACCAGCAGCTGACTGGGCTCGATGACAGCGCGGCGTGTCACTGTCACCTCCAGTCGCGTGTTCCGCGCCGCGCTGCCCACCTCCGAGCTCGTCGATCTCGGCATACGCCCGCGTCCCCTGACCTGACCCGGCGCACCACCAGCTGCTGGCCACTGACCTCGACATGACCAGAGTGGAGCAGCGGCGTCGGCTCAGCGCCGCGCACCTCGAGCCACTGGACTATCGGCGGATGGCCCGTGACGAGGCAGTAGAGCTCGACATCGACGCCCTTGGCGACTGTGACGACTCCCGTCTTTAAATGTACCGCCGTATCGGTGCGGTGGATTTATCAAGCCCGACTGAGGAAAGGCTGCTTGATTTGAAAGTAGCCGGACCAGGTGACCTGGGGATGGATAAAGGCTCACTTTGGTTCAGTGACTCAAATTTTAGCAGCCTTTCGTCGATCGGGCTTGATGGATCCACCGCACCGATGCGCGGTGCTTGGGATGTACAGTACATTAGCAGAAAGCGTGTAGATACTATTGAGCAGCCTGAACGCCCTAAAGAGACCCCCCACCTTCAAAAGTTAATGAATTGGCATACAAGTGCTGTTTAATGGATCAGAGTGATCAAAAAAGGAATGTCTACTGGTGTACATTAATTTCAATTGAAAGATATTCACCGTTTTTTCAGATATTACACTTTTTATTATTTCCCGTGGCCTACACTGTTCATTCGTAGTCATTGGAAAGCAGTTATTTGGTGTTTTAAAAATGTGACCGATGTTGAGCGCAAAACAGCATATACCACCACTGCTTCTCGAAGATGTTAATGCAAAACTATAGTCATTTTAAAGAAGATAGTATATAATTTCACGAGACTGCTGCCAAAAATTCCCCCAATAATAATAACCAGTAATTACTTCTATGGTATACGCATGAAGGTAACTATTTTGCAACTGTGTCAAAGCACAAAAGAACAGCATTCTGACAGCTCACTGTGTTATGCTGAAGTGGCAAGTTGGATTAAACTTGGTCGGGGCTGAACTTTGATTTTAATTGCTAATTGTTTTGTCATTTCAGAGTGTTAATGGAAACAGACGACGCTGAGCTGGGGCCGGACGCAGCAGGCGACGGACGCTGTGGTGCGCTGGGCTCCTGGTTTCCTGGTTTCACCCGCTGGTAGCGGGTGAAATACGCAGCTGCTCGTCGTCTCCTAGAGCGCCGCGGACGCCGTGGACTGCCCCATCAAAGTCGACGGAAAATCGGTTCCAGCAGCCGACCGTCTCAAACTACTCGGAGCCACCCCCTCAACCGGCTCCTCACTTCGGGGCCCATTGTCGCAGTCTCCGCTCCCGAGTGCGCCCCGGATCCAGCAGCTTCGCAAGCTGACAGCGCCGGGCTGGGGACTAGAGGAACGACAGCTCTGCGCTGTAGCGTCTGGATACGTCCGTGGAGTGCTGGTGCACGCGGCCGCCACCTGGCTCCCGGTGACGCCACAATCCCACGTGGAACTCCTCCAGAGGGAGATGCGGGCGGTGACCCGTATATCACCGGCTGCCCCTTGTTTATCCCAGCCCACGCAGTGATGGTGAAGTCCGGACTGATACCGGTGCCCGCTGGCCGCCCGGCGAGACGTGCTGGTAGCGAAGCTCTTCGCCAAGGCGCACGCGCTCCCCGAGGGCAAGCCCTCAGGACTATCGCGGAAGATGCCCAGCCGACTGAAATCGGTGACGGGCTGGCGTGGGGTGGGGCACGAAACCTGGCGAGCGGCTGGCATCGCCCTGCGGCTCGATCCTCTGGTTGCATGCCAGCGCGCCGCCGTGGGAGGTGGTCGCCTTCCCAGACTTCACCTTCAGGCTGGACATCGGGACACTGCAGCGCGACGCCTCGGCTGATGAACTACACCTGGCGGCACAGCGACACTTGGCCACCCTCCCCAGCAAGCCATCAGGGTATGAACTGACGCATCGGCGGAAGCGGTAGTCCGCAGCGGAGAAGCCTTCGTGGAGTGTACACGGGTGTGGGAAATGAATGCTAAGTGTATCCAAATTGAAGGCACTGCTCTCGAATGATATAAATATACTGAACAGCTTTGGATTGTTTGTATTCCAAATGTTTACTATCAGGACGAGTACTCCTTGTCATTCGGTCGTCAACTCCTCCCTCCGACCCCGGCTTAGCGCAGGCACGTATAACCTATAATTTGGCCGAGGGGGGGGGAGCGGAGGAATCCCGTAGAGAGAGCCTCCTACCTACAGAGGGCCCTCTACCCGAGGAGTCAGAGGGGCCCTAGTGGTCAGACACAGACACTAGCGGCTATTCACAGGAGGCCCCATGTAGTAAATTGAAGGACCCTAGGTGGCAGGCGAGTCGGAGAGCCTTGATTGTCCTGACGTGATTTTTGGGGGGATTCCCATGAATTTCGTTCGTCTCCGACGTGATTTTGGCCAACGTGGGCCTTCTACCAGCATGGGCCTTGAAACCCCCTAGGGGGAGGCGCGCCCCGTCCGTCCCCCCTTGGGTACGTCCCCGGTCGGTCCAGCGGCTCCACACGCGCCTACCGAAACACAAGAAACTCTTGCCATTATGTTTGCTTCTGACGCAATCATGACAGAATTACGCTCTTTTGATGTGCATGCTGCCATTGCTTTGGAGTCGGTCTTTTCAATTTCTGCGTTTTTTGGATCGGCTCCACTCTCCAGACAGTCGGCTCAGCCTGATCGACCAGAGCAATGCGACACCTATACCAACTTGATACCAACCTACTTGGCGCCTGGCGGGGTGGTCAATTCATGAAGTGCGAATGCGAAACATGGCAATAGATGGCGGAACGAACAGCATGGGGATTGGGGAATGGGGAAGGCTGGGACAGGCATTGAGGAATGAAATCCGTCACTTCCCAGATTTCGAACTCATCCTTAGAGTGCATTACTTTTATGTGCTTGCGTTCGGTCTTGGGATTTCTCAGCAGATGTCGCCAACAGTAGAGAAATTGATCTAGAATGTCTCGTTATCGGAAAAGTATGGTAGCTATACGCCAAATGGTTTTTGCGTTTAGCTACCATATTACTTCCGATATGACTGTTGACATTACTGCGGATATGACGGAGCAGTGCATTGGCAATATGCCAAGGGCAGTAACATGCCGTCAGTCACGTCAGTCATCGGCTTTGGCTATCTGTAAGAATCTTGGCAGGAATCTTGGCCTTTTCTTGGACCCACATAGCCTCGGCCTTCGACCAATCATATCGCCGAATTCGCAGGCGGTGAGAGACAAATACGGCGTGCCAAAGACATATTGGGTGTCTCAAAATCACTGAGAACTCTATAGCTCAAAACTGAAGCCCTGCACTCTGTTAGATCTACCCCGTAACCCGTTGAGTGGCATTCTTGTGAAAATTATGTAAAAATATTTATCAGAATAAGGTAGAAGTGTAGGGGGTGGCAGGTGAGGTGCAGAAGGAGAAGAAGAAGAAGTTGTACCTATCCAGTAATTTTATCTTGATTTGTGGACTAGACGAAGACTAGATTTTGATGAAGAAATCGACAAACTTGAACTGCAGGTAAGGTGTTGGTTTGTCATGCCGATTGTCTTGAAACCCTTTCCTTTTAATCTTTCAATTAAAATCATCAACTCCTATCCAAACCACCAAAGAAACGACAGATCTCACTCAGTCCAAATTTTCGTTCAGAGGCCAGTATTACTTTACCCGATGGCCGATTTACCAACAAAAATAGCTGCCTGGAATTTTTCTCCTCATATATCCATTCCACGTAGGTACAACATACAGAGGGTAAACGCGATAGGCATGTAGGTAAGGGAGGGCTTCACCATTTACACTCCATATGTGAATTAGCCTTTAGGCAAAATAATCCGGTAGGTGGCTATTTTCTGTTTGTAAAACTGGCCTCAGATGGAGTGCTATTAGGTATTTGATTTACCATCACACGATCAGGCATCAACTAAGTTTGTGGTTTTAGAATCTTGAAAAACTTTCTTGGGAGTGGCACTTGGTAGACATCCGTTTGAGATTCTGCTAGAGCAATAGCATCGCGCTCAAGCCAGCCAAATTTTAAACTGCCAACACAAGAAAAAAAATGTTTGGTTAATCAGATTTCAGGCTTCAAAATATTAGGTAAAGCATCAATAGGCATTTAATTCAATTCTGGTGGTAAAAATCATGACCTGTGTAGCCACTGTGTTTTATCCTGGCTTCATGACTCTCTAACGCTCCTTGAAACACCTGCTTGTTTTCTGACAATTGGTGATACAGAGAGGGTCTGCATTAATGTCCAAGTATGGTCATTTAGGATCAATTTTTGGTGCCCTCGTTTTATATTATTCCATCACCATCAGCCTTAGTTTGCCCAACTGACATGCGCTGAATTTGTCGCATGTGACGTTACACCTGACGTGCGCCGAAATTTTATGTGGAACCCTGCCACTACGCCAAACATAAGTTATGGCATGATCACTGCTCAGTTGGGCAGGTTCACCAGAACAGCTTCATGGGTGCAAAATGACCACCGCAGCGCCCGTAAACCCTAATAAACAAACAAACAAACATCAGTTGCGCAGTTAATGCCAATTTTTACAATTTTGATTGTCTATTGATATTGTTTGGTCTTTTCAGGACTCGTGGCGCTGCTCGCCTCTTCGCCAATGCGAATGCGTTCTCTGAGGACAACCCGCCCAAGGCTACCATGACGAAGCCACGCCACCGCGCCGGCTATAGACTCACGTCCTGAAGCGAGTTTGGGCGCGACGGCTGGCGAGCCAAGGCGGCGGAAAGTCGTCTGGCGGAGCTCCCGTCTGAGGCGAGCTTGATCTGGTCAGACAGCTCCGCCACCGATGGTGTGCTAGATGGAGGAGGAGGGGCCACCCCCCCCCCCCTGAACCGCGACATCCGAGAGGTGCGTGTCGCGGCAGGCGCCCTCTGCTTTAGCACGCGCGGCGAGCTATTCGCCCTAAGAGCGGTGTTGGAGGAGCTGGCCGGACGGATGGTACCGGTCGATATGGGTCGACCGCCGTCTATCCCAACGGTAGCGCCGATCGACGTAGGCACTTTCTGCAAGGCAGGCGCGCGCGCGCGACAGGCGCGCCACGGCAGGCGCGCGCGCCTGGCAGCGGAACTGGCCGGACGGATGGTACCGGTCGATATGGGTCGACCGCTGTCCTGGCTCCGTCCTGGAGGCCGACCGTGCAGTCGTTATCGACATCCGCCAGTACCTGCTCTGCATCGGCCGCCTCCCGAGGCCGGATGCCCACAATGCAACGACGTGGAGTGCCCTGCTGCCCGATGCCGCGTCTGCCGCGAAGAGGCTGGCACTCCACGGTATGTGCTGCTGCGATGCGCGGCGCTGGCGGTGTTGCGACAAAGAGCCTCGGCAGCTGAACTGCTTCAAGCGACGTAACGATATCTGCCCTCCCCTCCCCTATCGAGCCGCGTGGGTGTGGACGGACGGGTCGGCAGACGCGAGAACCTGCAGCGAAGGAGCTGGGGTCTACGGGGAGTAGCAGCACGAATGGACTGATGAGCCGCGTGTCCCGGCCGGTCCATTCTGCTGTTCCAGCTCCAGGACCGGCCGCGCCGTCGCCACCCGTCCGGCGTCAGTGGAGGACCGCTCATCAGCTGTCGATTTTCATCAGTTTCGTTTGGACCACTGGTCGGGCTCCTGCCAGTGCCGACATTGGGTTGGGCGGAGTCCTACCGATGAATGCCGCGAGTGCTGCAACATTGGCTCGGTACATCTCGGTACATTTTCCCGAGTCTGGTGTGGCTACGGGGAGACGGATTTGGTGACCCTGGCTGCCGCCGTGAGAACCATCCAGAACCGTACGGCTATGCTGCGGCAGCGGCTGAAAGGAACGCAACAACAATAACTACAACAGCAGCTGCTAATGAAAGGGGAAATCATGGAGCCGGATGACCCGGTACATGGCGCTCAGCCAGCTGAGAATGAGAGCCGCTATCAAATCGCCAGCAGGGTGCTGCGGCTGGTAACTGACGACCTTGGTAGAGAGAGCGCCTCCGCTGATGCGGATGAAACTACCCCCTCTCGGGTTTGTTTGACGCCGTCTCCGTCGACTCTTTCGCCTGGGCCGGCTGGCGACCGCGACATTTCTTGTGCAGTGACTCGTAACTATGTTCACCAAACTTTTAAAACTCCTCACGTTAGCATCTTTAAAGAATGTTTCCCTTGTACACTGCTGCAATGTCTTATGTAGGCATATTGTAGGTACAGTCTAAACGAGTGTGGAATGCTTTGTTGTGCTTGTTCTGTATTTCGTTTGCTATTTATCACGGTGACTATAATTTATTTTGACCAACCCTTGCCTTGTTACAATTTTAGTGGATGGTTTATGAACTGCTGTTTGCATTATAGATGTTGCTAGTGCGTAGACGCCAAAGATTACTTTATACCTATTGACGCGCCAGATAAAGGAGGTGAAGTATTCCTCTGATCTATACCTACGAAATTCCTTTATGTGTGTTTTGTAATCGATATTGGCGGTTTTCTTATGTGATGCGGTGTAGAGCGTGGCTGAGGAAGGCGATGTTTAAAGTTGCTAGTTATTTTTCAATACATCTATGATCGGACTGTCGTGCTTGCTGTAGGTCGGACTTCCGTTCTTGATGGTGATTGGACGCACGTGCCGGTAGTTCACAACAATGCGGCTTTCGATTATAGTATAGATTTAGATGCTTTTAAAGTGTTTGTATGCGTAGTCCTGAGTTTCGAGATATTATCCTTGCGGGCTCCTTGCCAACAGATTGTCCACTTCTGTGTCCAGTACTCATCCCACTCACGAGGCTCAGTTGTGTTTGCCAACCCCTATACGGAAACATTGGCCAGATAACTGACTACTACTGAAATTTTAAGAAGCGTGGGCAGTAGGGCATAACGAACGGTCCTCGGGTTCAGTAGCCGCGGAGCACCTTCAATTAAGGGGGGGGGGCACCGCCGACTTTTGGTCCCATTCTTTCCATGCAGCGCCCATAGGGCTAATGTTAAAATGCCAAAATCAAAGGGGGGCACGGTGCCCCGGTGCCCTCCCCGTTCCGCCGCCTGACCTGACAGGCTCAGGGAGGATTGCTCTTTGTTGTTTTTCTCCGATGAACCCTCTTGCTGCACACTGGCTGATCCAAAGGATGGAAGGGACGGGGGGGGGGTGCAGACGTAAGGAAAAAGAAGACAATGTTCTTTCCCTAGCGCACGAAATCAATTCTTAAATGAAAATAAAACGAATAAGCCCCCGTTCCGTATCTTCCGTTCCATTCCACGACTCCCACGTTCCAGTGACTTGCTGCAGTAGCGTCATCTATACCTCGCCCTTACTGCCGGGAAGGCCGCGAGTTGCGACATCTATACTATGTCTAGGCCTGAAGTATTCATCCGCCACGATGTATTTATTTTTGTCAATCGGTTTGGTCCTTCTGGCCGGATAAGTCGTCAGAATTATCTAAAGGTGCCTGAAATGTCTCGTTAGTGGAAAAAATGTCTCGTTAGTGGAATTCCACTATCTGGCAACTAGCCCTATGTAAACGCGGCTAGTGAGTGTGAATCTGGTAAAATATCGCTGCAATATCTCCCCGTTCGACATCTCATCGGTTCCGTTCTACGTAAGTTTTCTTTAAATAACTTCTTTTCCCATTTAATCGTTTCCCAACAAAGATGATCTCTTCTAGTATTTATTCTACAGAAGCACAACGATCGGTACCTATATTAGTCGCATATTAGTTCTAACCACAAACAATTCTACATCTACCTATTACTAGACATTTCGCAATTTCAATGACGCAAAGTACAAGGACCAGCTAAAGTCGCAAAAGTGTCAAACCGTCGACCTCAAACCACTACTCTCAACTCTGCACCTAAGTAACAGAAGAAATTCCGCCGTAAGCTCAAGCATTCGTATCTGTCGAAAATCATAACTCATAGCCATATTCGTAGATCGATCGCATGAATCAGTCGCCGCCTTAAAACATTATATTCCTATTTCACCGTATTCACCTGTTCTATAATTGATTTTGACTTCACAATTAATTCCTACAGTAATATCACCAATGATTTCGCAATGCAACTCTTTATGAGTACAGCATGAATATACACCCTTAATTTCACAAACTTCCCAACCTCAAATCTTAATCGCACCTGACTACCGCCGATAATAAATGAACGAACCAGTTTGGCCAAACACAAGGGCATATTCAATGCTGACGCGCAACATGTCAATAATTTCAGCGTTCGTGACACTGACCTGCTTATTCAAATTTTAGCATCTCGTTCTCGGTCTAATCGCGAAACATACCGGCTCCAACTGACAATAACGTATTTGCTGGCGGCTCTGACATGACCTCAAAATTCAGATCCTAATATGCTACTAGGGTGTCTGGACTAGTGATGTCAATCACGGAAAATCGGAATACCGATACCAAACCAAATACCAACTAAAACCACGGGAGAATACCGAAACCAAACCAACTTGGGAAACTGAGGAAAATACCAACTTTTTACCGATTTCTTAGCCTCTAATACATTAGTGAGGGCTTATGATACCAACAAAATACCAAACACATTACGATTGAAATACCAAATACCAAGTTGGTATCGGTTTGGTATCGGTATACCAAAAAGTTGGTATCCGATTGACATCTCTAGTCTGGACCAATAAGTTCAAAGTAATTTAAGTTTTCCAATTCCAATTGAGAGTGCATTTTATGGCAACCGAAAATGTTTGGCAGTCGTCACGGCACGGCAAGCTGGGCAGAGGGGGGGAAGGATCAGGGATTGAGCAGACTTTTCAACAACACTCATCATTCTGGAGTTTCTCTGCGCTTCCGCTTCTCAGTGTGGTCACAAGCGTCGGCGGTTGTCCTCCGGCTCTGGTCGGTCGAACTGAAGAGGCTTCCCGCGGGTGACCCCGGACCGACGGCGGCCTCCAGATGGCGTCTCCGGCTCCGGCTGCAGACAGTGTCTCCGGGGTGAATCGTGCACCTTTTATAGCTCGAGGGGCTGCCACGCCCTGAGCCGACCTCGGAGTCATTGCACCCAGGGTGTCTTTGTTACTCCCGTGCGTTTTCACTTGGCCGCTCACCATCTTCATATTGGGAGTTTTACCAGTCGGTTCATCGATGTGTAGGATATAAGAACATTGATAAAAGTGTGAATTAGCTCTGTCGTGCCGTTTCTTTATCCTCAACCACTTTCATTCTTATATCGACTGCGTATCTGCCCGCAGCAGCCTTCTTTTCCTCTGGTTATCCAAATACCTCGGTAGCTAAACATCTTATCACATTCCATATAGCTCGTCGTTGTTTGCTTGAATTGGGTTGAATCCCATAACAGCTTTAGTTAGCCTCAACAGCGTTTCTTTGTTCCAGCCACTTACAATATACTCAGGAGACGACACTTCGTATCTTAGCCTTCATCTTAGATTTTGGCGAATCGGTGTATTCCGTATTGCTGTTTCCGATACGACCGTTGCGCTGAGCTGGTATAACTGTTTTCCCGACGTCCTCTTGCTTAGTCTCCAGGCTTGGGATTTGCAGACATTGTTCATGGCCGGCTGCTCCATTTTCTTGGTTGTATTTTGCTATTAACCTGACGGTGACTCTAGCCCTTGGAATTCAAGCCTGCATTTGCCACAAGCCCCATATTTGTCAGTCATTTCTCCCGCGGCTACTGTATTGGCTGATTACTTTAGGAGCTACCCCTCCGTCCGATCTTCCGTCAAAATGGTTTTATCTCCCAGAATCATACATCCTTTGTTGTCAACCTTTCTCGCGTCTGGATAGTGCTGCCCCCTTCGGTTGGCGGTAGCTCTGGCAACTAGTACCTTGGGCGTGTCCCCATCGTCAGCTGGCTAGCACCCCCCTCTTCGCTGCTGACCTTTCCCGCCAGGCCTTGTGGTTGCGGGGTGTGGCCGTAGCGTGCTGCCTCTTTTATTCAGTCGCGAAATCTGGAACTACAGGTCATTGCTTGCGGCTTGTTGTGGAGGTCACCTTCAAGGCGTTCTGCCGGGTCACTCACCCTGGGTTGTTGTACCCCGACAAAGGAGGCTGTGTGCTCCATCCGGCATCCATCCTTTACACTGCTCCATGATCTGATGACGTATCTTGCTGATCCAGCGCTCCCAGCCGTTATCTGTCCTCGGCGTGGGTCCACGAGCTGTTGACAGTGTTACTGATCCAGCTGTTACTTGTTGGGATTCGAATCGTTCATCCTGCGGTAGCTGTCTCCAAAAGCGCGCGTCTTAATGGGAGTTTAACGGCTGCCTATTCTGTGCGGACAGTGATAGATTAAGGGAACTGGGGGGATTGGGGGAGGGGAAAGCGAGGTTAGGCGTGTGGCATGACTGCGAGGGAGAGGGACTGCCGGACCGAGCCGTGCCGAAAAGATATACGTTAAATGTTCAAGATGTAGCGTGCTACAATATCATCACAAGCTGGATGGTCATTCATAAAGTTACAACACAATGGCTCAGATCACTTTCAAAATGTCCATTAAATCTAATTTTTAGAACAGTGCCAGAGGAACTTTTACAGAGAGAGGAAACCTGCAGGGTTTAGTATCCTCCAGAAGTCGCAAAACTTGTATATCTCGGATTTTTTCCTAAAGGTCACATAAGGTCAGGTCGGTCACGTGACCTCAACATTATAAATCAATGAGAAACATGGAAACTTATTTTGGCGCCGGGGATGTTCTGACACTATCTCAAGCAAATAAGATTGTGCTTAACAAAATAAGAATAAGATATCGGAACTTGAACTGCTTACAAGTTCCGATAATTTACTTTTGCACTGTTGACCTTTCGTGACGTCATTTATGACGTCACTAGGGTCATCAGAGTTAATCATCAATAACTCCCGATCGAATTGAGCTAGAGATTCGGAAAAGCCACCATTGGACTCGGACAGACCTCTCAAATCGAATGATATGCAATATTACCTCATTCGACCAGCTTCGTGACCTGAGGGGCTCTGACCTGACCTTGACATGAGCTCAACAACTTAAGTTGACCTTATCCGAACAAATAGTAGGGGAAGTTGGGGGAACGCCGAATACTTTTTTTCTGACGCCCGTAGGCGTATATTCGGATGCAGTATTAGTAGAGCATGGGTCCCGAAAAATTCTTCAGAACTAGAGAAATTCTCGCGGCCACCGGCATTTAGGCGATCTGCTCGTGCTTTTGTCACTGGAGCGCTTCTTTCACGGAGATTGCGCCGGCCGCCTGCAACGGACGAAAAATACACGGCTTTGCAATCCGGCTGATCGTGGGAAAATACAGCCGGAGGTCTCGGCTCTATGCAGGTATACCACCGGGAGAGATGTATTTATTGCATAGTATATACCACTGGCTCGATGTACATATAGCCTGCAAGTTGGCTTTGGTGCAAACATGTCAAACAGGGTATAGGGCGGATCGATGTAAGCAAATCAGACGTTCAATTGACAATTTCCGATTCTTATTCGATAATTACGACCAATTATATTTTATTTTGGGAAGTGTTATTGGGACCGGAGCAATAAAATCTCATTTTCCCCTGTCTCCTTACCTATCTCCCAAACCCCTTGCTCACGATCATCTTTCCTCTCTTTAGGTATCAGTCTCCTTCCCGTCCTCCCCGAGTCTCTGACAAGTGTAATATCCATATCTCTAAGTCTTTTCCTTCATCTGATCCTCCTTTCTCTCACCACCCTTC